TGCAAGCAGATTTACTAAAGGTATAAAGACCTTAACCGGAAGATAAAACAACATAATTCAATCATTTTTAAAGCAAAAAATGCACAGTTTACAGCCATATAAGAATAAAGAACCTGAGATCACTGAGCCGAGTAAACACAGCGGTTATATATCTGCATATATTTACATACTTTTGGTGCAACCGATTGCAACCAAAATACGAGGTGCACATCTGCATGTTACAGCAGTCCTATATACAAAATTTCAACGTTCTGAGGCAACTCGTTTCTGAGTTATACAAGATACATGCGTACGCACAGACGCCACAAAAAATTCTCTTCAGAATCCATTTTAAATCAGTTTATATTTTTTTTGGGGGGGAAAAGAGTCCTTTATTCTGTCCTCACGTACAGATGTCACGCAAAAACATCGTTTAAATTGCATTCGATAGCGGTCAAAATGGATATTTTCGGTGAAATACGATACCTGAAATTTTTCGCGATTACAATACTTCCTTTTTACTTCGTACAAGGAATGAAAAATGAGAGGACAAATTATATAAATAATTTAAATACTTAAACTAATAAAAATTAGATTTTTTTTTACTACTACGAGGACAAATTATAAAACCATTTATAAAATGGAAGAAGTTAACAATATAAATAGTTACAAAAATAAACGGGGTAGGACATCTTCAGGGAAATGACAAGATTTCAAAAATTTCAAGCTTTCCAATAAAAACCTTAAAAATGAACATAAAACATTAAAAAATGCGTCAAAATTAGTAATTTTCATAATTTTTTGCATTTTCCATCCAATTTTGCAGGATGCAAAATATAATTTGCAGATGCAAAAATTTCTTTCTGTATAAATGATAAAAATCAAAAATTATGACAAAAGAAGAAAAGATTATAGATCCAAATCAAAACCCTGTCCTGCCTATTCACCTTTTCAGACTTGTGATTATAAGAGAATCTGGATCCGGAAAAACGGGTGTTTTTTAATGTAACTTCAGAAACTTTTGAATTACGATTAGTTATAAATATGTGTTGAAAATATTCATGGAGATAAATAAATATTCAGATTTAACTGAAAAATTTAAAAGATTCGAAGATATTCAAAGAGAAGATATAAATTTTATAGTTACAAAAAGTAACAAAAAGAATTATTATGAAAATATAATAAATATAATAAACCATTCCTTGCAACGGATGACTCAAAATTTGTTCAATTAGAAGACCTATATCCGAATAAAAATAATGTAATTGTACACGATGATTGCTTTGTTGAAGATCAGACAAGTATTAAAAATCATTCAATAGCAGCAGATACAAAAACGTGTCCATCATATATCTAGATCAAGCCTATAATCAAAGGAATAAGATCCTGACGAAATTAGGATCAACTGTAGTTATTTCACATTTTTTAATTTACAAACCCAAAGAAATGTAGCAGATTATGAGAGAAACTGGCGTCAAATTAGTAGGAGGAAAATTTAGTGAAACCTACAATAGGAGTCTTAAAGAATCCCATGATTTCCTCAGGTCTCATTTTTAAAATCCTAAGATGAGATACAGAAAAAATTTTGATCCCTTATAAATGCAAAAGGAATTAATTCCTTTTGCATTTATATGAGATCAAATTGGTCATACGTTTATGGGAAGATCTGCAAAGTTTATAATGATTTCAGTTTATCATTATCAGTCTCTAAATTTTTGCTTAGGGTAAGTTCCTTATTCGCCTTTGCGTTATATATCTAAAAATAGCGATATAGACGTGCATTGAGTACTGTAGTAGGAATAATCGAAATTTTAAATAAATCGTTAAGAATTTCTGAAAGAAAAAAAGAATATAATGTTAGCTAAAACCATGACTGAGGAAGAAGTTTCGTTCAAAGAGCAAGAATTTAATTAAAGATTTGAAGTTTTTCTCAGTTGAAAAATAGAACTTGAATGGCTACTGGATAATTTTTTATACTATATAAATGAAGAAAGGAAAACGTGTCATTAATAAGCCAATTAACAATTCACCGTTTGAAATGCATTTGCTAAGCACTCGTTTTCAGGTCCTGGAATACAGTTTTTATGGAGCAAAATGAGAGTGAATCCTGATTTAACTTATAAAGAGTCTAAACATATAAACAGAGTGAATGAAACAGCATACAAATATGATATATGTTATTTAAAAAATAAAGCTACTAAAACTAGAAATAATGTATGTGATAAAAATATGACAGAAGATTTAAACTGAATTCCAAATCCTACAGAAAATAATAAAAAAAAGAAATACTACCCCTCTTTCTTTCACGCAGAAAGAATAGAAAGCGGGGTAGTTTTTCTTTTTAATAATTCATTGCGTTTAGAGTTTGGATAATCATACTTTATTAACTAAAGAGTATATAAATGTTGGTACTCAGAAAAAATCAGTAAGTTGGAGGAGCCTGCCGATTCCTACATAGCTATTCTATATTTGGATGTACAAAAGTCTAAGCTAAGTAGTGTTATGGTCACAGTGTTTTAAATTTCTCTTTTGTTGACTAAAGTGGGAACACTAAAGTGAAAAGACGGTATAAGGTAAGCGTTAGTAAATTTCATAAAATGTCAGTCTTGGATTGGGTTACCAACTGTGTCGAGTCACAATAAAGGGCACGACAAAATATATTTTCATTAACTACTTTTTTATTATTATAGTAAATTACTGTAATATGTCTTTAGAAATTACGTTCATGTGAACGAACATTTCTTAAAACTTTGTAAACAACAGAAAAACCTTTAGTAATTTAGGTAATATATCGACTCATTAAACACAACTAATGCATTGTAAGAATAATCACTAGAATTTAATTTTTAAAATGTTAATTAAAAAGTGCAGAAACACTGAAAAAATATTTGAAACTTTTAAAACAAAAGCTGAAGTGAACTTGAAATTTTTTTAATTTTATTTATTCTGATTTTAGCGGACTTCAGGAAACGTGCATCCCTTTGAAATTTTCTGCAAATTCTGAACAACTTCCTTTCAAATTAAAATAATGAATTTTCTGTAAGTTTAACCAAACACTTATTTCGTTTATTTCTTTATTTAGTTGGCATGACATTAAAAGTTCTTTCATGAGATGCTGATATTGGAAGAAGTAAAAACACATGAAACTATTTTTTTAAAATATCCACAAATTTATAATCAGCTGTTTTGAAAATCCTGTGCCATTTACTATTTGATGTTTTGGATCTTGTAAAATGTTCAGAAATTAGCGCAAACTTTTTTTTGTACTAATGTTACTTTATCAAAAACGTCATCTATATTCAAATTCAGCTTTTCTTTCAGCGTCGAATCTCCAATAACTTCAACAAATTTCTACTGTGCTGGAAATGAAATATTTAACAGATTTAGAACTGGCAATTTTCTAAATGTAGAATTTTCATCAAAGTATTCTTCTAAATAAGTAGCTGACGATGAAAGAAATAATTTAGAGTCATAGATAATTTCGGAGATTCTGCATTATCTAGCTTTTTCAAATGGCTGTTGATGAATTTGAAAGCTAAAAAATTCCCCGTCATTTCGAGATTTAATCTTATTTCTTAAGTTGGTAAAAACATTGAAACCATCTGTGCCAGAAGATTCATTCTAGTTTTTCATTAGAAGGAAATTTCACGTACAGTTACATCTTTAAGCCGAAAATTCACACTAAACATTGCTAGAACAATGAATGCATCTGAATAATTGGTATAATTTCTATAGAATTATCATCAATTGAAAACGGTTTGAATAATTGTTTAAAACAATCAGTTGGTTTGTCTAAGAAGTAAGAACTTAAAACCTTCCACGAAATTAAAATCCTTTCATTGTATAGCTTCAAAGGAAACTGCCTGAAAACTGTCTGAGAATTTGAAAGAAATCTGTTTCTACAAAGCAGTAAAACGCCTTAAATGTTTTACTTTTCTTTGCTGGCATTTAAAAACGGCCATAGATTTTTAGAATAATATTTTCTATGTTCACATTCAAGTTTTCTACAGCACATTTCGCTGTATTATGTATATGTGAGCATTGCAGTTAGCTTTAACAATACCTTCATTTAATGCAAGGATGTTAACATATAAGCTAAAATTACAATTTGCATTATTTGCGGTAAAACAAGAAATTATTGTTCATTCTAATTGCAAATTGTTCATAATATTTTTCAAACATTCGAACATTCCATCTGCATTTTCGTCTGGATTCTCAAACAATGTCTTTTATATTCCACTATACCAAATTCCGTGCTAAAATATTGAACATACACTGGGAGTATTTTTACATTGTTATTATTATTTGAAGTATCAACTTGAATACAAAAATATAGAGGTAGCTCATGATTTTGCAATTCGTTCAAAACTACCCCGAACGCCTTTTTCACCAAGCTCATTTGTAACAATTACTTTAGGTTTTGTTCCGCAAAATATTTTTGCAGTTACTTTGGAGTCTTCGTAATTTTTTTGATTTAATTTTAAATTGCGATCAAGCGAGCTATAGAAATTATTCTAAACTGAGTTACAGGAATGATGATCATCATTACAAGAATTATGATTATCATTCCTATAACTCACTTAATAAAGTGAGTTTGAGGAACAATCATGTGAATTTAATTATGTGGTAAATTTGAGCTATTTCCTAAATGACTACTACATCTGCGTCTTTAGACTTTGCTTTTTCGATAACTTATCAGTTAAAGAAGTATATGATAATATTACTGCTTTTATTTTTATGACAAACTGAATATTTATGCTATCTCATTGCTAAAACACATATACATCCATTTTAAAAAATACTTTAATAAATAGTACACTTTGCTTCTTGTGGATTAATAGCTCCCTTTAACCATTTATAATCTTTTCGCAGTTTTTGCTATACGAACATTATTGCTCGGTCTCTTTTCTTATCGGTTCCATAATTTATAGGGTTAACAGAACTTAATACGTATTTATAATTGTTTTGTTTTAATCTGATACTAAATAAGCATACTTAAAATCTAATAATACTTTTCATAGGCATTCAAGGATGGATAGTCTCCGAAAGAACTCAATACCGCGGCCAGCAGAAAATGCAGATCCACGAATACCGATGGCTTGGAGGCATCGCGAAATGACTTTCAACAATCCTTATGCTAGAAGAGCATCTTCTCCATCTGTGACATCATCATCATCAGATGATAGAGAAGAGGTACCAATTGTGAGACAGCATTACAGACCTCTGAGCCGCCACAGCAACATGGAAAGACATGATGACCGTCTTGATCACTATGCTACTATACGCAATGAACGATTAGAGCATTTTAATTCCGCAAGAAGTGAAAGAATGGACTCTTATTCTCATCGTAATGCAACACCTGTTGATAATTACTTCCATGGGCCTTATCGAAATTCAGCTAATGGTTCATCTGGCACATTGCGATCAACAAGAAGTGTTCCAGCTTTAGCCTTTGCAGCTGCAATGGAGAATCAAGATCCTTGTCCAATACACGGAGGAAACCATGGTCCATTGCGAAGACATGGTTCTTTATTTGATATCCGCGCTCCACCTGTAGGTGGACCACTAAGTCTAAGTGGTCTGGACAAGAAGAACTTCCATGGTTCTAAACATTCCCTACTTAACGGTCTTCCTCCACCACACTTCCAATTTCACCCAGATATGCCACAATATCTTCCACCACATATGATAAATCCAATGATGCGTCCCCCGCATCACTTGGGAATGCCGGTACTTATGGAACCAATACCAATGCGAGACCCATTTAACAAAACCATGACATTTCATCGCAACGGTGCAAATGCATATCCAACAAAGGAACCGGTTGATCCATATAGTGTTGAGCAAGTTTGCTGTAAAGGTCATTTAATTGTTTTATGGATAATCTTAGGTGTTGTTACTGTTGGTGTTATTCTCGGCATAATCATGGGAGTCACGATAACTTAGAAATCATATGAAAAAAGAGTATGAAATACTCGAAGTAAATGAAGAAATACTGGAAATTATCAGTATTTTAAAAATAAAAGGAACTAAATAAGGAGAACATTATGAGATGCTACAAAAATACTGAAAAAAAAAAAAAAAAAAAAAAGGCTATGCGCACTGTGATCTAAAAAGTACTGTTTTAAAATATAGGCTTCTGCTACAACTTTTAAAAAAGCCTTTGTGAAACAAAGATGTTATTTATCAGGTTAATCAAGTATAAAAAATAAGCATATATCAGATGTAAACTATGAAATAATAGAAAACAAACAATACATAAAGAATGCACTTTAAAAAACTGCAAGAGAATAAAATATAAAACAGAAGCTAGGACAATTTTTAATGCATTTTCATACATAAGACTGCTTGTATGTAACAATAATTCGATCTAACATCTGGAAACACAGGTCCATTATAATGGTTTGTAAATGTTGGTATAAGGCTTTAGAAATAAATTATTGGTTTGCAGTTATGTAATTTGGATATAATTTTCTTTATAATTTTTTATTCATAATATAATTCCAAATTCCCATTTCAACAGCAAAGAAGCAAAAGCTTATAAATTATTAGACATAGAATATGACAGAAATACATTTATTATTCTCCTGTAAATGACCCTAACTTGTTAGCAACAAAACAATTTTACAATTTTCTGTTCCTGTCGTCACTACCACGTCTCCACAGCTCTTTACATTATATTTCTTCGGCGGTTATGAGACCAGAATTCAACACCTTTACTAAATTATCGGGAGTGTCTGACTCGACCTAGGGTTTTCGTCTGCAGCTAGAGTGCTTATAGTACTTTGAATTATCACTTTCGAAATGCTGGCCATAATTGCTATCAACATTTTTACTTTACCACACACAGGCTCGGACTATGTCCTGGCGTCTGTCCCATGTGTCCTACTCACCTAAGTCATATAATACCCGTTATCATCTTTATTTGTGAATGGCTCGGCAAGAAGGCTGAGTTTCTGGGTTTCAGTAGGCTGACTGATATCTGACCTTTGATCCGATGGAGATGGGATTTTGCTTTTATTTTGTAGAATCAAAACTTTTCTCGCTCATAACAAAGTAGAGAATTATTTAAAATTTTGCAGAAAAATGCGCAAAGTCTGCCTGAACTGCTTAGGAAGAGGCATGGGAAGGTTGTGAGCAATCTGCTGACCAAGTACGAGAAAGAAGTTTTAACTCATCCATCATAACGTCCATTCATTAGTTCACTAGATCTTCACTATTTTTCCAATTTAAAAGCCTCAATATGGACTGCGTTTTCTCTTTTTGAAAACCGTTTCTTCAGCTATTATACAAACCCTTCGAGGACTGAAAAAAAGTAGAACTCTACAAGAAATACCAAATCTTTCGATTTCCTTAATTTCGGGTACGAAAAGCTGAGCGACTATATGGAAGGACCGCAAACAAAATCTGTCTGAAATAATGCAAAACCCGAGAGAAAAAAACGATTTAGAGTGCATTGTTTTTAAGTGGCCTTCGTATTTGTCTTTTGCACTGTCCCGAAGGCCATTCTCCAGTTTAAATATAAAAACGCCATTATAGCAATTCGCAGAAATGGAAATATTTGACATCTTGTTTGTTACATTGATTATTAGAGCACAAAAGACATTCTGAAATAGATTAAATTATTACCCACATAGCATTATTTTAAAAAATTAAATTACCAGTTCATAAAGAAGAGTATTATTGCACGACTTATGTCTCAAAGTGCTACTGTATTTCTTAAATAAAACTAGTGTTTGTTGCAGGCGAGTAACATGTTAAGGTTCAAGGAGCTTCATTCGACATGCCAGCAACAGTTTGGGATTACCTGACATGGAATTTTAAGGGTTACTTTTCTCTTTCTTTCAGCATCTGGCATGAAATTAAAAGTGAAGGTAAAATAATCCGTTCTACAATTTGTTCATTTACTTAGCCGATTTTGCCCTGGTTCTACTGGATCATTCAAAATGGTCTATCTAATTACTAAATAATGGACTGTAACTCTCATTAATTAATTAAACCAAATCTGTTTAAAGATTTGATTTGTATAGTTGCAGAATGACATTTTGTTTGACTTGTATAGTTGCATTGATTTGTATAGTTGCAGAATGACATTTCCTCACACACACAGCTTAGCAAGAAAAAGTAAAGATTATTTCCTTTTTTATAGTTGCGCAGCGATGGCCGTGCCATTTCATTTCAAAGGGATTTAACGCATACAAATTCAAACTAACAGTAAAATAATCATCAGAATATGAAGCAGGTGAAGAAATTGGTATACTGCCAAATAAAAAAGTAAAACAGTAGGAAATGAAAAACCTCTTGACAACAGAAAGTGTCTGTTAGGCACTGTTTCATCGGCCAGTCGTATTACGATTAGCAGTCGTATTCCCAAGTGTGCAGCTTGAATCTTTACATAATTTAGGCAAGTAAAAATGAGAGAGTATCTTTATATCCACAGAAATTTCGCAAAAAAGGGGGAAACAAAATGTATTGTAATATCATGGCTGAGCACCCAGTTTGACATTAGATAGGCCTTGTAGATTTAAAAATGCTTTTTCGGGATATCCATTCTTCATCCTAACCAGTGGCGTAGCGAGAGGGGGGCATGGGGGTGCATGATGCCCCGGGCGCCGCTCGTAGAGGGGCGCCAAATGGTCTCCAAACAAGATTTTCCGGAAAATTTCAGTTTTTATTTTGATCGATTTCTGTAAAATATATTTAAACTTAATAACTATTGCAATTAATTATATATTAATTAATTATTTATTTTCTTGATTTGTCTGATAAAATGTGTAATAAAATGTTTGCAGTACATCAACCAAAACGTTCTTCCTGACCACTTTATTTCTCCAAAGTAGAGATATATTAATATTTTTTTAAACGAAATGCACGTATATGTTCTGCTTTTATTTTAAAACGATTTCTCAAACATATCCAGTTTCTAAAATCCGATTCCATAATCTGGAAATGACATTTTAGGAAAATCCTAACGCTTCCGTTACAATGGATTGCGTTTGACTCTCCTGTAAACGACTGATGGCCTTCCTGGCTACCGATTCAACTATGTCATCTTGCTGAGACATCGTATATTCACTGCTACGAAGCATTCAACGCATGTCAATTGTTTTTAATCTCCTATTACAAAAGGAATACTGCAGGTCGCTTCTCACTTCTTATCTAAAACGCATAGTTTTAGACTTCACAGACTAAATTTGCATATTCCCAACTTTGTAAACGTTATAATTTTCCTTTATAATCTCTTCTATTTCCTTTTGTTCAAAAAGGTTGTCGATTATATGGTTATTTCATACCGAACCCACAATATCCCCTAATTGTTTTGAGCAGTGACTATGACTGTATGACGTTACTCCGCAGTAGAAAAGAAACGGAACCTAAAACTCCACTACAAATCTATAGAGAAAATGTTTTTCCAAACCTAAGAGCCGCACTTCAAATACTACTTACTATTTCATTATCAAATGCTAATTATGAGCGGGCTAAAATTATTAAATAAATTTTCACATATTTACAATCAACGATGGGACAAGATCCCCTAAGTCATCTAGCATTTTTAAGTGTGGAAAGAGAAAAATTTGAAAGGATCGACTTTGATGAAGTAAATAGTAAATTTGCTTCATCCAAGGTAAGAAAAATGTATACATAGTAATTAATTGTATTCATATATTATATTATTATTAATAAATATAAGTGCCCGACCAAGTCGAGGTGCACGTGATTGAAGGGAGATGAGGGCAAATTAAAATTTTTAAGTTGGCTGGTGGTGTGTCTGACAATTTTAGATCTTTGGCACTCCAAACGCGAACGTATCTAGTTGGCTATGTCCTTTTGCATGCTAGGCCATACGAAACGTTGCTGTATCAGTTTTTTCGAAGCCTTGATGCCAGGATGTGACAGACGATGTAACTGACTAAAAATGGCATGGTGAAATCCGGAGGGAACATAAGGTCGAAATCTTGAATCCTGAACATCACAATAAAGTGATTTTCCAGGTGGCAGCTGCATAGGCTGTAAGTTAAGATTGGTGGAAGATTTGCTTTTCAAGAGGGTTTGTAGTTCTGAATCCCGGTGTTATTCATCCGCAAGGGCAGCAAACTTTATTGGCGAAGGAACGGCTAGTTCTTCAATACGAGACAAGGTGTCTGCAACAATATTCTGCGAACCCTCAATATAACGGATAGCTGTTGAAAATTGCCCTATGAAGTCTAGGTGTCTCATTTGACGAGGAGAAGTTTTATCCTGTTGAAAAGCATAAAGCATAAGCCTTTTTTTTAAAGGGCGACTGGTGTTTTCAGGGAACCCCATCGCCAAATCCTGGGTGTGGAGAATCCTCATCCTTTTAGTTCGAGCGCCACTGTAGAGACATTAGGATATTTGGAAGCAAGAGAGATTGAAAAATTAGCAACCGCCTTCGCCGGGAATCGAACCGCGGACCTCTGGAGTACCGGCCCAGCGTGCAGAACCACCATATCATGAAGGCACACTAGGAAAGCGGGAGAAATACCTTATAAACGTAGAGTGATAATGGTTTAGATGCGAAAGGATACTGCAAATTTGTTGCCGAAATTAAATTATTTTTGCATTTTTGGAACGCTTCGCAAAATTCTGCGGTCCAGGTTATAACACGTTTATCGTTTTTCTTGCTTCCAACCAAAAAAGAATTTAGAGGTGTTTGCATGGTTACTGCATGAGGTAAGAAACGTCGATAAAAATTGAGCATAGCAAGAAATCTTCTTAAGTTCTTCACTGTAGATGATTCGGGCATATAGCGGAAAGCGGTGACTCTGGAAGGGGTCGAACGCCATCAGCGTAAATTTCATGACCAAGAAAGGATGCTCTTGGTTGGCCAAAAACGCATTTGGAAGGATTAAGAGTGACACCGTACCTTTGAAAACGTTCAAAAACTGTTCTCAAATGTGATAGGTGTTCTTGCTCTGAAGAAGAGGCGATTAAGACGTCATCAAAATAAAGTACACGAAAGTAGAGGCCGATTAACCTGATTCATGGAGCGCTTCGGAACGTTTGAGCAGCACTGCATAAGCCGAAAATCATGACCGGAAACTCAAATAGTCCAAAAGGCGTAATAACCGCAGTTTCAGCTGGGTTAACAGCTGGGAATATCAGCTGGGTTAACGGGCATTTGGTGATACGCCCGCTCAAGATCAAGGGTTATAAAAATAGCTTTTCCCTCTAAAACATGCATACAGTCTTGAATGTGCGCGATTGGGTAACGATGAGAAATTGTAGCTGCATTTAACCGGCGATAATCGCTACACGGGCGCCAGTTACCATTTCGTTTCCGAACTAGATGGAGCGGACTGGCCCATGAACTTTTTGAAGGACGGCAAATTCCCTGTTCCATCATATATTAAAATTCCTCTTTGGCGGCTTTAAGCTTGTCCGGAGGTAAGCGTCTAGGTTTAGCGGCAATTGGAGGTCCGTTAGTTTCAATATAATAT